ACTACCTCTTTGCCTTTAGTTTCCAATGCTGAAAAGCCACTGCATTGCTCATGGCTGGTAATCACTTCATCATCAATTTTGACAGTATCACAGTAGTAGGTCTTGTGGCTGTGTGGCGCAACACAAATGGTGTGCATGAACTTCCGCTGAAGGATTTACACCTTCCAGAAGGGGAAACAACGAACTATGCATGCCCAAAAGTTTCAAACACGCTTGCTGCACAAATCCAGCGGTCTCATGGTTAACTCATATAATCCTCCTATCGACTAGTTATGCCCAAGAATAAACTGTTGTAATCCCCGGAGATCACGTCGAGTGGTGTGGGACCGTTACTTGGCCGCTGGATAAAACCTTGTCCATATCAAGCATTTTTGCCCTTGCGATGCTCTATCGAATCTTCGTTCTTTAATCGCGGATTATCTTTTAGCGTTATTCGATTCATGAGGCGGGATGACAAGCGGCACGTTAAGCCTAGACGTTATTGGCAAAGCGGCGTGCAAACAAAATCACACGCGGGGCAAATGAGTGATACCAAAGTGTGGAGGAAACTCTAGAGCGGTCTCTAGAGCCAGATCGATGTGATGAGATCATGGGCGGAGAGGAGATGAAGCTTACTAGATAGAGAGATTATTGGAATGAGTGCTTCGATGGTCCAGAGTTCATTCAAATCAGCAGTAATACTGACTCGCTCTAGATTGGACGTTTGGATTCGCATTTGTCGAATGAGACCACGACTCGGGGAATGCAGCCACAGTAGACCTATATTGTTGTCTTGCTCTTGATCCCGTGACTGAATACCCGTTGTTTTGAGTTGCTAGAGTAGCTAGCTCATGAAGATGTGCGACTTATCAAGTTTGTTGCATAATCTAACATGGAAACTATCGCGAGATCAACGTTCCTGTTCGGTAACTTTGGGCTTCTTTGGCGTGAATAGTACACTGGAGATAACCTTAAACTGTATTATTAGGTTGCTGCCCTCCGCTGAGCCGAATCACTTGCTACTCCAACTAGAGGTTACAAATTACGAGTACGAGTTACGACGGCGTCATGTAGTAGGCTACACTAGTAACGTCAAATCTTGGAACCGATCGCACCACGAGGCTGCCACGTTCTTTCTGCGCGATCGATCAGATCAAGCTATCTTTGAGAGAAGTGGTTGGTTGCACAGTAATGTTTGAAAGATGGGGGGTGGATCTTAAGAACGAGGTAGTCCTAAAACGGCACAACGATATATTAGAAAGAAGGGTCCGGTTTTCAAAACAGCACGGCATGGCATAGACTGTATGCCCCGGCAAATACTATATCAAGAAACAAAGTACATGACCGAGAGCGAGCGCATTTAGAAAAAAAAAGGCGCCTATGACGTCCCCGAACTTCGGGGCCCGAAATCAGGCAAACCCCGCGAAAAAGAATCGAAATATGCCTCGCCTCATGGAAATTCTGATAGTCTGTCCTTAGTAAAGTGTCCGATATCCAATGATGTCGAGATGCCAAATCCAGCTGGATAGGCAGGGCGATCCAGCTGTGTGTGATTCAGAACCTGAGGTGAAGCCAATATGTACTTCGTATATGTGCCACCTATAATTAGGGGGGTCAGCGAAGGTTGTCTAATGCTTGCGAATGATTTTCACCGATGACACCAGAGCAAATTCCTCGCTGCAAGTAATTATAGATTGATAAGAGAGCTGAATCCTGGAGGATGGGTGACATTGAAGTTATGGCGGGGGATTGGTTCATGATATCTACTTCAGCGAAGTTTGGGGGCGTAGCATATGCAAGATGATGGTGGGGAAGGAATGTGCGTAACCATAAGAAGCACCGAGTATCAGCATGGGTATGATGAACCCCTGACCTACGGTAGTGAAGAAATACTTTAGCAAGAGTCAGTCAATGGAGTTGTCCCTTCAGGTTTTCTTGTGGAAATAAAAATACATCGACCAGATACTTCAGTATTTAGCGTCTAACGAATCTGTTGCTCCTGCGAACGGGAAGCCATTAGATGTTGTTGAACAGCTTGGAATTTTGTTCTTGTTACATCCAAAGTAACTGATTTTACGTTTTGCTGATAACCTCTCAACTCCGTTCTTGCAGGCCATGATCGGCAGTTGAGCTTCAATTCAAGTCTATCGATGTCCTGCGCAATAGAGGCACGGCGACAACGGTGCGAGGTGGTGCGATGGCGCCGGAGTCCTTATCATGACCTTTTTGATATCATCAAGGTGATTAAGGGGGGCACACAAACGAACAAGGTAGAACCTTGGATGGCCTGTAAGTGGCTACATCGGAAGAAAGGTGAAGGATTCAGAAATAATCCTTCTGTTACGCATATTCAGCCTTTCTCGCGCATTATCAACGTTACACCTCCAAATTTGAATCTGCGACATTTCAGCCCAGCTGCCTTCTGCGTGACTCTGCCATAATTAGTTAATAGACCATCTATTAAAAATTTATTAGGTTGGAGTTTGGAGTTGAAAGATTGTCAAGTCTTCATAACTACCCCATTGATTAATTGATGATATACCCCAAATTCATTCCAAATTAGGACAATGCTGAATGCCTAAATTGACTGCCGGATTTGCCATGTGCGCGTTGAGTTTTCTTGATTCATTATATTGAGATCTGTAAGGACAAGTTTGGGCAATCTGGAGATGAAGGTGGGACAATTTTGGACTGATCAGGAAGCTATTATTAGCACTCATCTTGGAAGTTAGAACTTTGGAAAAAGACCCGAGCACCGTTGAGCTATCAATCGGAGATTTAATACACTATTGCTGGCGCTGGCGATCTTGCAACATCGACTGTCCTACCGAATCAGTCTCAGCCCATCCCGTATCATTAATGAAAAGGAGAAACTTCTAGCGTAAAGGTTACTTCTTTCAGTCAGAACACAGAACCGAAATTTCGGATGCCTATCTGTATTTGCGAGATCTTACTCGGATTCTGCCCCTGTCAAATGCCGGCCTGCATTAGATGCAGTAACAGGAGATCATTCACTGTAAAGACCTTGCCAATACTTCAAGACCAGAAACTTTGAGTGTCGAGAAGGGGTGGGGTTTTACAGATTCGTGAGACTAGAACACTCTAAAGCACGGCTTTAAGAAAGGACCATTATTTACACCACGGATTGTAGCTTCCACCTGTAAAAACAATACGGAGTCCGTACGGTACAATGCGATCGTCTCTTGTTTTTAAACCCCTGTCACCAGCCTTCAGTTACGGGTAGCAGGGTCCTCGGGGAACAGGGTTTTGAAAAGTCGGTAGTCTATTGGTTTTTGAACGTGGCCCTGGCAGGCATGCCGCTACAAAAAGGCCATGAACGGCTCCAGGGGTTGAAAACCTATTGAACCTGCATCGTTATGCAGGCAGATCGGTACTCTGAATGAGGGTCAATAGATAGGTGGACGAGTTCAACGGCAGTATCTCCCGGAGCTGCACTTTGAACAGCACTGTGAACTGACTGATATGCTGACTGATGGCAGTGATAGATACGTTCCGCGGGTCAATTATTTACAAGGAGCTGCTGCTCTAATAGGGCATTTCTCCCGTAAATCTCAGGCTGTGCACGAGCATTTCTTCCCCTGTCGGTGTCTCCTGATTTCCCTGTCGCCAGATGCCAAATCCGGCCTACTGGGCTTAACTAATGCAGTTTGGTTCATTCTACTGCACGAGTACTCCGTAGTTCGACATCTTGCAGTCTAGTCTGGCAGTGAACAACCTTCGTACGAAGTACTCGGTTCCTGTGATACTCTACGGAGTGCTCTACTCTACCGTACTGTACTCCGGAGTGAACTCTGTATAGCTATCTACCGAAACGAAGGAAGGTTGCGCCTCTTCGAGAATATCGCCCTGGAGAAGTGACCAGGAGATGGCGTTGTCATCTAGATACAGCAGAGTCCCGAGAGCTTCTCCGCATAACGTAGAGATAATACAGTGTTGCTGTAGGGTTGGGTAGACAGCTTTTGTACAGTTATATAGGCTGCTAAGATGGAAGAAAAGGGTTTGGCGTGACAGCCAACTTAAATTGCTTGCCGGGCTGGAAATTCCTCATTGTTCTGCACCTCGCGTCACAACCCCCATGCCTCCACATACTCCGTAGTCCACAGCCAAACTTGACCAGGGCCTTCAGAAATGCGCCTCCTCCCATCCCCTCCCGAACCTCTAAAAAGCCCGGGCGATGGGAGGTGTGGTGGCCGGTACGGTAGGCATCGCTTCTTGCTCCTGCTTGTATTACACCTGATCAGACTACAGTACAAGTTTCAAGCCTCCAAACTTGTATCTGTATTTGTTCAACCTCATGCTGACTTGGTCCCATCTCACGCCTCAGCTGCCACCTATTAAGAATCTACTGAGCTCCTTGGCTTGCCTCATTACCTTAGTTCCCCTATTGCTCCAAGGCTCATGCATGCAGCAGCAAGACCGAACCTCCACCACAACTGGAAGGCGGTGCGCCAAACTTCTCTGTAGTCCCCATCATCCATCCACTCGTCAATTACTTCTATTACTGCTCATTCGCAGATCTTTTCAACACGAATTCCAAGACTATCCTGACTTGTACAAGTCTACCCGTGCAGCGCTATAGTTCTGTACCCGGCGTCTCCATCGGGTCGAGGCTCGACCACATTGATACTTTCGGCCTGTGCTTCTACTGTACATAACCCACTGGGGGCCCAAATCTCAAGGTCCCTCCCAGTCCGCTCTCGCCACGGCCACGGTTCTGTCACGAAGGGACTAATTGCAAGGAAGAGCAACGATTGCTGGCAGGATCGAATTTCGCGATAGGATTCTGATTTAGCTACTGTATTGGGGAATATAGCATCCTGGCGGAACAACTGCAATAGTTGGCGGAAAGAAGTACCGTAAGTACAGTCATCTATCCATCCGCGCCCCGCGAGATCAACAGAACCTACGCCCACGATTCGTACGCACTGGCACGGGCACCACCACCTCAACATCACCACCACCAATAGACGTCCGCCTGCACTTGCAGCAAGCATTGTTACATGTCGAAAAGCCTTTTTGGTTCCAACGTTGCGAACAATCGAAACCAAGAGCTGCGAGAAACATCCGATACCAATACTGCCGTCGCCGCCGCCGTCGCAGCAGCAGCAGCGGCTCGAAAAGAACAGCGAGAACAGGAGCAGGTTAGGGCGTTGTTTGAGCTTGGACTGCTGGGAAGAGGTGACAAGCCTAAGAAGCGAGAGAAGGGCAGGGACAAGGACAAGGTCATCCCCAGTGGACCCGGAGCCCGTGTTCCAGGCTTACACCCGAAAAAAGGTACGCTGCTTGCTTGCTTGCTTACTCCCTATTTGCCTGCTGGCTTGCCCCGTCTTCTGCACTGTCAAACCTGAACAAACAATCCATTATCTGTACCCATTATTCATCCATACCCCTAAATCCATACCCATACGTATTTGCAATTTCATTCGCGATCCATTGATCGCCGGCACCTGCCCTTGTTCTCGGATTTTGGTTATTTTCATGACCCCTATCGCGACTGGTTGACTGATATATCTTATGCATTCAGACACCCTCCAGAGTCTTGGATTGTCTCGACAGCCATCATCAGTCGACTCTTCGCACCCGAGGAACGGCAGCAGTAAAGGCTCGAACGACTTGCGGCGGCGAGCAGGCGGAGGGATGGCAGGAATGTTGGATACGGATCGGAGCCGCACGAGGCGCGAGAGGACGTTTGTCGGCAGCGAGTGTGCAGTCTGCGAGGAGCCATTAGAGCATACCCTTCGAGGAGAGCGCATCCTACAGTTTTCCTGCGGCCATGTCTCCCACGAAGCCTGCTTCTACGAATATATCAAGGAGTTCGAGTCCCAATATTGCCCAACTTGCAATGCACCCCTCGGTCTTGATACGAGTAGGGGAGGAAATGTGCTGGATATTGGTAAGACCTTCGTTGCTGGTGTGTTCCCTATTGCCGTGCCAGATGCTGATTACAGATGCTCGATACAGAGAAGTTAAGTAACATCGTGCGATCAGTCTCCGCCAGCGACCAGTCAATGAGATCAGAACAGACGACGCCTGTGCCTTGGGATAGCCAGACCGCGCGGCCGCATAGCAGAGAATCGGACAGACCACAAGGCAGGCAGAACAGTCGGGATGCCAGAACCAGTGTTTCGGGAGATAGTAAGGACAGCAGGGAGCGCGTGGATAGATATGGGGCTTCTTCACGGAATGGGCACTCTCGAAGTGATTCAGCAGAGGTCGCCGGCGATAGCACTTGGCAACAAACCCGAAATAACTCTGTGGCCACTGCAAACTCAGGCGATAGATGGCAGCAGCCACAGCCACCGCAACCGCAGGGGCATGCTCGAAACGATTCAATGACTACTGGCGTACAATCTGTGAATTACTCTGAAAGCGCACTGAGTGGTCCTCAAAGGCGACACGATTACGATGCGCAGTCTATGGATTCTGGTCTTATCAGTCCTCGATCAAGTGTCTCCAGGAATCCAATCCCCCCGCCGTCTGTCAGCGTCCGGTCAGAATTCCCGACTCTCAATAGATCACGCCAACAGCAAACTTTAACTTGCCTAGTCACCGTGGAGATTCCCGACAATAAATGGCGCCCTGATCTTGATGATCTCCGCTCGGCACCCCCTTTGCCTGGACTAAGACCTGAAGACACCTATGCTAGACCCCCATCTCCTGCCCAAAGTGCCCCCCGTTTCTATCCCTACGAGTCGCAAGAAGTATTGGAAGATATCACAGAAAACCTGCGATTGAGGGTAGAAAATTGGCACGGTCTTGACTTTAACAGGTATGTATTTTAAGACCATCTTTCAAGCACAATTCAACTAACCATTTAGATTTGGAAAGCTTCGTCTATATGGCACAATTCGCGTTGGAAAGGACAGGCAATCCTGGCAAGAATTAGAGTGTTTTCTCTTTGCGGAAATGCTCATCTGTGTGAAGGAGAAAAGAGTAGCAATCCCGCAAGGTTGGGAGGATACAGTGCCAAACCAGAAAACTACTCGATGCACTTTGAAGGGATCTATCCTGATCAAGAAGCACTTGAATGAGGTCATAGAATCTGGCGGTAAACCAAACCTTGGTCAGACCGAGAAAATCACGATGTCTAATCTCAGACCAGTAGAAGACAACATTCTTACCCTCAGCCTTTCAGTAGCCGAACTACCTTCGTTCCATCTGAAGTTCGAAAATCGAAATCAGTTGAAGTTATGGAAACAAGCTTTACTCGACCTAAATGCTGTCGAATCTCCTGTTCGCAGCCCGGATTATGACCTGTCAGAGACAGACGAAGAAGACTGGCAAAGGGTTACTAACCCTCCTCAGCGAAATCCCTCGGTGAATTCGTCTTCAAATGGTGGAGCTAGATCCGCGACGACTGCCCCCACTGAGTATACCAACAAAAGAGAAGTTCGTCTACCTCCGACGATCCACGTCCCGGTCGATATCGTTGTTGTGCTCCCGATATCCTCGTCCATGCAAGGAGTCAAGATCAGCCTCGTTAGAGATGCGCTCAAATTCATGGTTTCAAATCTTGGAGAGCGCGATCGTATGGGTCTTGTCACATTCGGATCAAGCAACGGCGCAGCTCCCCTGGTTGGCATGACCACGAAGAGTTGGAATGGATGGTCTAATGTCTTAGCGTCTGTCAGGCCCATGGGACAGAAGAGTCACAGAGCTGATGTGGTTGAGGGCGCAAACGTCGCAATGGATCTCCTCATGCAAAGGAAGTCGAACAACCCGATAGCCACCATACTCTTGATCAGCGACTCCTCGACCTCAGATCCTGAGAGCGTTGATTTCGTTGTATCAAGAGCAGAGGCAGCAAAGTAAGTTATTTTTTATGTTGTATGTTTACTTAGTTGCATGTTACTAACCATAGCAGGATCGCTATTCATTCATTTGGTCTCGGAATGACCCACAAGCCAGATACGATGATCGAGCTATCAACACGAACAAAGGCATCGTACACCTATGTCAAGGACTGGATGATGTTGCGAGAATGTCTTGCTGGTTGCCTCGGAGCTTTGCAAACGATGTCTCACCAAAATGTGAAGCTGAAGATGAGACTACCCGAGGGATCCCCAGCAAAATTCGTGAAAATCAGCGGGGCACTACAGATCACGAAACGAGCCACCGGAAAAGATGCCGAAGCTTCGTTGGGAGATCTGAGATTTGGCGACAAGAGAGATATCCTTGTACAACTTGTTATCGCGCCTGATAACGCTTCGCAAGAGCAATTGCCTCAAGACCCTTGGGAATCAATCGTCTCGGGACTCGAAGCACTGGGAGGTCCTCTTGATCAGGAAGATCAGCGCACATTATCTGTCGAGGAAGTTCCTCTCATCCAAGCCGACCTTACATGGGGCGATATTCTCCGCGACGGGACGCTCACGCATCTTCCTCGTCCATCGCTCCTCGCAATCACTATGCTTCCCGCATCACCAAATCAAAAGAAATCTGCCTGGCCCAATGCCCCTCATATTCCCCCACATCCCAGCGTCGTTCAGAGACGAATGGAACTCCTCACCTCGGATATGCTCACACGTGCTCTGACGTTGGTATCAAGGGGCCAACATGATCGTGCGCAGCATCTTCTCAACGAGACCCGCTCCATCCTTAAGGGTTTGGGCAAAGGTGGTCTGCCTCCAATTCCACCACCTTCCCAGTCCCAGAAGTCACCTTACCGAGCTTCCACTACGGAAGGCTTATCCCCAACCACTAGCACAACACCTGACCGTCGTCAAACACCGTCTCCCACCTCTGCTAATGCTGCCACTTCTAATCAGAGTGGAGGCCCTATTCCCCGTCATCACTCGAATGATGCTCTCCAAATGAACTCTTCTCCTGGGATCGATCCCATCACTGTTGCAGCTCTAGATTCAGAGCTTGAATCCAGCCTAGAATGGATTAATCACCCTGCAGTATTTGGACGAGATTCGAGAAAAGCTGTTCTCCAGGCAATCGGAGTCATCAGCAGCCAGCGAGGCTACACCTTCCGTACCCCCATTGAGAGTCTTTGGTCCGGACGAGTTTCCGGCGTCAAGCGCCTCACAGAACGCAGTCGAGAGTGGCGAGAAGAAGGCGGAGGTGAAGGAGGCATCATGGAAGAGAGCTAAATCTCTTTCATTCGTTCAAACACAATTCATATCGCCCTGTACTACCCGACCCGGCCTCACAATTTCCTTGGATTTATCTGCTATATACCTTACATTATATAACGACGACATGGCCGGTTCTGCGCATTTATTTACTACCCACGTATACTCATGTAAAAATACCTTTTATACTGTTCAGATCTGTTAAGCGGGAAGACAAGGCGGGCATTTTTGACATACCCCTTTATATCTATTGGCTTTTTTTTATCTCTGTTGTTTGTTGATGGCATGGTGGCAATAACTCTGGAACTTGGCGAGGTCTGGTCCAGCATGGGATTACGGGACTCAAAACCAAACGGCAATTATTTATATGCCTTGCAAATATATAGCGAGGTTTGCGCATGAGGTATCTATAGATATCCATGAGGTGTTAAATCGAACGGAGTTTATGATAATGCTTCTAGGCGTCTATGGGTGTCGTGATGGTCGCGTGGTCTTCAGGGAAAAAATAGGATTTCTTTTGTGGTGCGAGATGATGATGTAAGTTGATCGGATAGATCAAGTTACAGAGTCAATGATATCCATATCCATAATACATTCTTTGGGTTTTTCCTCTGATCCATCTATTCGAGCTAGCAATGAAGCAAACGCCTATAGACCCATTATACTTACTAAAGCCCGTCGAGCCCAGAAGGGAGCCTCAAGCGATGGTTGTAGTGACAGAGCCATTTGAAGGCGTCCATCTATAAAATGGCCCGGGTCTACACAATGTGAGAAGCGCATCGGGACCTTGACATTCTTCGCACTTGTACAGTACATACACACCATGTGCAGCCTCCCAAGTCATCATGCTGGGGGTAGCTTATCTCGTCCCCAAAATCAGCAGAGAGAGAGAGAGGGGTGCGTAGCAGAATTTCTTTCTTTAAATCCACTTGAAATTTCAATTTTAAACAGAGAGAGGCCTGAAAAATAGGTTATGCTGCATTCATTGCCCAAACATGTGATCTAAGTCAAAGCCAAACTAGTGAAGTTACTCCTTCCTCTTCTAAGATCTCGCACCATTGATTTATTGAAAAGCCCCACGAGCTCTCGATACTCCAATAATCACTCCACTGCCACCCAGGGCTATAAGTCGCCTCGCCAGCCCCGTACCTCTGCGCATAAAGCCCACAATAGGTTCCCAACGGCTTTCCATTCTTTTTCACATCAGATATACCTGAGTTGGCTAGTTCGTGTGTCTGTGCATGTGAGCACACGATTTTGCGTTGGTTTTTTGATATTTCTTAGAGTTTAGTTTCTTCACGGCGTGATTCCCAAGACACCCCTCTTTTGCCACCAGTGGTAATAATTCGGATCAAACACAAGACCAGACAGTAGTGGACTGCCTCTGTTCTTCTAGTGAACTTGAATTAGACGTGACTGGAGATGCTTTTCACCGCTGGCTTTCACTTGTGAGAAGCTATACCGTATTACTTAGTCTCTATTGTTGCGACAGTCAGATCAGTCAGATCATACGCATAATTGAATCGTGCCTTACTTCTTGTTTGATGGCCCTGTCACTTATCGAATATTTTGAGATTACCGCGCAACACACCATTGCTATGATGTTCAGGAACTGAAACCAATTTGACAGGAGTTAGTCTAAGACTGACTTCTTGTCATGTCGAGTCTTGGGAACGAGTTTGCCCTTGTTTTGACTCAGTATCTAGTCAGATAAAGCTGTTGTTTACAGTGAATATTAAGCAAACGGACTTTGACTGTTCAAATACACCTCTGAGACCATGTCAGAAGTACACTGATGTACTTTGAGAATAATAGGATGATTTCTACCGTCATGGTGATACTTCTTATTGAGTTCAGAGGAATCAAGCTTCGGTTCATGGGCCCATGGCAGTGTTTCATTCAAAGCACTCGGGATTGAGAATGTATCTCTATAATGTTCTATCTACACTGCATACTCCTTTCTGAACCAGCAAAGTATTCATCACCCCTTAGAGTCATTTCTTTCTACAGTCATTTCTCTCTGTCTCTCCCGATTGTTGGCAGAGAGATTTAGGACGATACTATGAATCAGAAAAGACTATGTGTTTATGATCTGTTTGAGTCGATGAGTCCTAATGGTGAACAATGCTTGGAGTTGATGTGGCTAAATACTTTCTAGCTTCCAATTCAATGCTAATATCTCCTTCAATGCAAGCAACAAGATAAGTCTGCTTTCAATCAATCTAAGCTAAGACAGAGCTACATTTGAAGCTTAATATCCGAAGTCGAGAAGTCAGGACCAAGTCTTAGCACAATGTGCATATCTCCAAAGGAAGGGGGCAATAAAGTGGTATGGAACCTTGCTTATCTTTCATTTCTATCCTACAGAAGTCGTCTAACTATTCATAGAAGGATCCGAAGTATAAGGTAAATGACCAAGTGTGGTGGAGAAATACAAATGTTTCGCCTGGAGAAAAGCCCGACAGAATTTCCGCATCAGTCACAACAGTTCACAAATCCCAAGACTCAAACCATCGCTACGTTATCACGTACAATGATACAAGCAGAACCGTTGACGAGAGCGAACTAAGCGACGAGGCTGAGTAGATGCTTCGGGATCGACTGTGTGCAGGATTAGCTTCGCGACACGATAGACACGGGTACTTGCAATGGAGTTTGTAACACAATCCAATCAGTTTTATTGTTTTATCGAAGCCCCAAGAGCTTGTGACTTTCTCTGGGTAGCTGCATTGCAGCCTTAGACGTGACGTTTCTTGTTTCCTGAAAAGTATCGAGGACTTGCAAGTGCGACTTCCATCAACAATTTATCTCCATACTTTCATTCTGCCAATCTGCAAAAAGCATGAGACCTTATAACGATAGTTCTATGGAGAGAGGAGAGATACACCACGACTATGTGGATAGGAAAATGATCCTGAAGGTATCAGCAGAGGACAACTACCGTCTGTCCTCGGCAACGGTCGCAAATGAAGCAGCAGAAGATCTCAGTGGCCATCAAGGTGGTGAGATAGCCTATGAATAATGTACTCGAAATCTGGAAATCTGATTCAATGGGTTCAAGGGAACAATTATTTTGCACTTCGATGCCAACAGATTTGGAGGTCCTTCGTTCGACTGGCAGTATTCTCCAAATTCCGGCATACAGATCCAGTACCCACCGGGAAATCTACAGTACGAAGCGGTAAGAAATCTAACTCATAGCGACTCAATATCTCCCACTGACATGTTCGCAGTGGAAGGCTGTCCGGAAGGCTATCCCCGCCTTGCAGCCTTACTCGATAGCGACGAGAACTTCATGCTCTACAGAAGGTTTGGCTACCTGCAGGCTCGACTTCTCCTGTATAAGCAAGATGAGCTCCGAGAGGCAGAAAGAGATCTCAACGAGTCAGATATCATTGATGCGAGGGGAGAACCGAGCTGGTTGAAGTCTCGGGAGAAGGACGATAAGAAATCACGTAGGAAAGAAATCTTGAAGACGATCGAGACAAAGTTCTTGGAATACAGTAAGCCTTCACAAACTCTAAAGCCTGATGGGAACTGGAATGACAATTTCCAGCTCAACTCCTTACGAGTGCCCGCGACATTGCAAACTTTAACAGCCCTCGCGCCCGAGACTATTGGACTATCAGGAAGTATTTCGATGAGCACGCGCCGCTTGTTGAACAGGAAAGTTATATATACCATAAAGAAGATATAGTGGCACTGAAACCTGGGAGAGAGCATTCGTGGCTGGATACCTTCGTCGAGAAAATATTCCACAAGTTGAATTGTAGGCTCGTCCGAGTAAGTGTCATCCTCGACCACTTCGTACACAATACTAACGGTTGCTTATAGTACATACTCACTTCACCGGTCAGTTACTGCCATGATATCTGCAAGTCAATTCTTAACCCATTTGGTGTCTAGGAGCTTCGCGCAAAGGCCAACCCAGAGTCCTCGGGCGTGATTCTGTATCACCGGGAGCGGATTGAAATCATCGTATCCATCATTATCGCCATCGTTATCGTCGCAATTCTCATAACCCCCATTTACATCCTCTTCTACCTTACCGTTGGCGCTCAAACCAACCACAGTGTTTCGATCATCATCAGCGTGCTGCTCATCTTCACTTTACTCTTCTCGGGTGTGCTGTCACTGTTTACGAGGGCAAAGAGACATGAAATTCTTGCTGCTGCCGCTGCGTAAGTTTTGCATCGCTAATAGTCAGAGATGGGATAACACTGATGATACATTTGCAGTTATTGCGCTGTGCTGGTGGTTTTCATTGGGAATGTGGGGAAATTGAATACCTGATGGAAATAGATTGGCGAATGATGAGAAGGGCAGAAGTATCAGCTATTAGTAAATGAAGGATAAGTTGTTGAGGATTCAATTTTCTAATTTGGGGGTAAAGTTATTTGCGGGTTGAGCTAGATGGGCTCGAAGAAGTCGTTTGATGCAACGACATATATTTTCATTCAATATGGTATATTGATTTTAAAAAGACTATTTTCTTACTCGAAACCAGTGTGTTTTGAATAATTTGTGGCAATTCGCAAACGCTGCTCGGTACTCCCAGAGTCCCAGCGAATTACATTAACTCGGATCCAACTCGTACCTTGCATATTGTCGTTGGCTAGCTGGTACTCCAATGTGGGTTAGGGGTGGATGCTAGTCGAAATTCTTGTGCAAGACAGCCTACACACATTCGATCTTAGTTCTTAAGATTTTGCCATCTTACTACAGGTCAGCACGGGTTGGGGTGGGTCTTGACAGGAGTCTCTGTTGGTATTCCATACGTAAAATGTTGAATACTACTAAAAGTCCATTTCCGAATTTCATTGAGCTTCTGTCAAACGTATATATATATTCCCGATATATTTCTGATTAAAGTTATTTGTAAAATCCCAACTATGTCATTCACAGCTCTCCACAAGTCCCCGGCAATGGGAACTTTATTCCTCAGTCACTTGGGCGCCCCTTTTGAAAAATTTGCCGCTAAAGATATATCTTGTAAACTTTGCCAGAGAATCTCTGCTTTCCCATATTGGAAGCAAAGTGATAGTTCCCGCTATTCGTAGTATCAGTTCTGCACTCAGATTAAAACTACAATTGTGACTTACCAGCAATGAAAGCCCACAAGAAAACTATAACAATCCACCCTTTGAAGAACCCTTTCGAAAACACTAGATATCAAAACAAGTCAGACTCGTCAACTCATGGGGGTACTCTAAGGTCTCAGCATTCCGTAACTTGTGGCATACATTGGAATGGGCCAGAGAATCAAATATGCCAGTGTCATAACAATGCTTGCAATAATCGCCAATTTTCTCGCTCGGAACAAGATCTTCTCGTTCTTTTCGTCACGAGTCCGGGCAGCTTCCATTGCGTATTCCGCTTGTGCATCCGTTTCCGGAACTCTGTGGTCACTCCCATCTTCATAATCATCGGATATTGTGACGAGTGCTTTGAAGTAGATTCGACTCTAATTCATAGGGCAAGGAAAATAAGACTTTGTACGGAGATATAGCGGGCAAGTAGTCGATAGGAGTATTATATTCTGGTCGTCTTTCTGTTTTACTGTATGGCCAATCATAAAGGCTCGCTTACAGTACCCCTATTCTAAGCGAGCAACAATTCAAAACACAACCTCAATTTCTTCCTCCAACGGAAAAAATACGCAGTCCTCATCTGCAACCCCGTTAATATGCTGCACAACCGCAAACGACACCGGCTGTTCCCAGATTATTAGCATTCTGTCCATATACCTTAATCTGACCCTTTCCCCTCGATCGCTTCAGTCATTCACTCACCTCATCAATGACAGCCATAGGCGCATGCCACACGCCCACCCCATAGCACACACCCTGCTTTTGTGTCGCCGCAAACGCTTTCAAGCCCTTCATATTCGGCTTCTCGTCACCATCCGTTACTACAACCAAGTATTTGACATCGCCGCCCATCGGCACAAAAGACTGCGTGGTATAAGGGTGTTTCTCCAGCATTTTGAATTTGAAAACTCTTTTCGCGTCCCCATGATTCTCTTTTCTCTCTTTTCCAATTTCTCCGGACCAAGGAGCGACGTCTCGTGGACCAGCTAGAGAAGCATTCAACACGACTTTCGCTGGTTTCTTGCTTGGTGCCTTATCGTACCGATTGTCCGTAGGCACAACTTCTGGCGTCCGTCTCGCCGTGCCGCCGTTCACATGCACTGTTTGTGGGGTCAGGACATTGGTAGATATAACCCCGCCGTACGATTTGAATCCGGAAGGATTGAGAGGGGAGGCGTGGAGTATCTGGGCCATCTTCTGATGCATGTAGTGAGAGGAGGTTGAGCGACCACCCTCGACCTCGAAATATTCAACAACATATGGGTGAGGTCCGGCACAAGGCCTAAAATGCCCCCAAAAGTGGGATCATGCAGTATAGCCCACATGGTTTGCAGTGGTGGCGCTTCAATAATTGACCTAGGTTTGGTCGATAATCTGCAGCTCTGGGTCAAATTATCCTGGTCATCTTTTAACATTCCAGAAATCTTGGTAAATAGAAGTGGTTTACGACGCTAATGCAATCCGGGCAAGAAGACACAGACGCATTACCGCTCAGTCTCCTTACACTAGGTGTGATGGATTGATTTGATCGAACGTCGCTCAATATGCTAGCTAGTGCATAAGTAGAAATATGAATCCATCTATATATGCTTGCGAATTCCTCTGTTTTCAGATACATTTTTTCTTCTAGGTCAAACGAGATGCCCTTTCTTATATGGGAATTTCTCGCGATAGTGAGTAGCTATATCCCTTCTTGTTGTTACCCACACATCTGGTTTGTTTGAAATGTATTTTATGAAGTTCTCAACCGCAGCAAAACGTCCTGGCTTTCCTGAAATCCTACAGTGCAGGCCGATCGTCATCATCTTAGGCATGCCTTCTTGACCCTCGGCATAAAGCACATCAAACGCTGTCTTGAGGTATTCCTCAAAACCGGAAGCTGTGCTGAATCCTGATGCTGCGTGGAATTTGACGTCGTTGCAATCATAGCTGTAATTTCTTAGCATAGCGCATACTATATTGAAAGGAGGTTTCTTTCACCTGTAGGGAATCATGAGCATTCCCTTTGGATCCTTCAGTTCTTTCTCTGCCGGCACATCAACCCAGAATGGCAAATCATCTGAATACGTGTCGCTTTCGTAAAGAAGCGGGATGCCTTTCTTTTCGTAGACTTCATGAATCAACGCTTTCGAGTACGCAGAGACAGCCCCGTAGTACCATCCCACCGGATAACTTCCCGTCGTCTTCTTCAGACTCTCTAATTGTCGCTCGATGTACTCTTTTTCCAGCTCAATGCCCATTCCTACATAATTTACCCATCTACGCACATTAGTCACCCTTTCCATCTCAAAGTATTTTTACATACCGATACCCATGGCTAGCCACCTCATGGCCGTTCTTCCCAAACGCATCCGCGACCTCTAGATTCTTCTCGAATGCCTGTCCGATAGCATAAGCGGTGACTGGCATTCCATACTTCTCGAAGCAATTTAGCAGCCGCCATACGCCCACTCGACTTCCATATTCATAATCACTGGCCGAAATAGTCAGTATAAAAGCTTCCATTACCTACGTCTACCCATGACTTGAATACAAGCTTTTGCAAAATCAATGCATAGTGGACGTACGACTCTGGATTCAGAGATCTCTCTCCAGTCAAAGCTGGTTTATTATCTGCCTGTTCCCATAATCTGTTCTCAGACTGCGCGTCGCCGTTTGTCACGCTACGTTCAGAGCCCTTGGGAATGTCAGGATATGGGTTAGCGAGAAGGGGGTTGAAAACATACCTCTTCATAATTGATAACAAACGAAACAGCTATTTTAGCACCGTTAGGCCATTGCGGATTATGTGATTTCCGACCAAATCCTACTATATCGCGTGGGAAATCGTAAATCGTGTCTTGAAGGGGGTCGATGCTCGGCGCACCGATCTTGGCAGAGCTGCCATCACGACTGTAAAGGGACATATTTTGACAGATATTACCAGAATGGAACGAGGAGACAACCACGCATCACGACCTATCACCTTCTCTTCAGTTACGGCGCTCAACCTTCTGTTATCAGCAGAAGAGTGGGATCCGAGAGTGGGATGCTCGTTGGCCGCCGATCTGCTGGACATGAAAAGCGGCACTTATTATCATCGACTTTTAGAGTCCCACGCAGCCTAGCAAACTACAACTGATGCCGCTTTTCCTGTCCACCTACGAGCCGCCGCAGTAGTCCTTCGGCGACTGCTCCCGATGATCGGGAGGATCGGGCTCGTGCCCGAAGCTATCACTACACTACCTGAGTACGTACACTTGGACTTCGAGGTCGGATTGTGAGTTTTGTATTTGACTTCTACAGTGTTTTGCGGGCCTTTCTTTTCTCTCAAATAGCACGCGTTCTCAAACAAAAGATTAGACTTGAGACATATGATACTTGTAATCGGATTTTAAAAGAGCCGCAAGACACTATAGGAGTTAAATGTTTCGAAACAGCTTACAGCGGAGGAAACCGCTAGTATATCCTATCTCAGGCTATCTGGGTGAGATAAAGCCGCAGCCCACTTAAAGGAATATGTTAAGATGAACTGATGAAGCTACCGTAGGCTCGGGGTTCTTATCAGTGAAATAGATACCATCTAGACTTCATTCATATAAGAGGTGGTCGATGGATCTGCATTAAATGAACTCTGCATCCGTATGAATTGAACATGTCTTCATTCTTGAGAAAGGTTGATGATGTGTTCCGCACGAAGGAGAGCAAATTCCAAGACTTCCAGGAGAGCGAAAAGAAGTGGGGAAATGAGGACCTCGACCCTTCTCGTGAGTCGAGTCTCCAGGTCTCCATTGATCGGGCAATATGCTAAGATACTTCCCAGCACCATCTGCCCGTATTTGGACGCACTGGAACTATTTTGCCTTTTTTTGGGCTGTTTCGTTCAATCCTGTGGCATGGAACACTGGGTCCAGCATGATCGCCGCTGGGTTACTCTGGTGGCAGGCTACCGTGGCTGCAATCGTAGGCATGATGATTATGGCAACATTCTTGGTTCTAAACTCTCGCGGAGCATCCATATATCACATTGGTTTCCCCGTGTACGTGCGTATTTGCGCTGGTTTCTATGGTTCCATGTGGTTTATATTCGTCCGCGGGATAGTGGCGATATTTTTCTTTGGAACGCAGACATACTATGCCGGTAAATTATTCGAGGTCATGCTCCGCTGCATCTTCGGGCACGCCTGGACTGATATCCCAAACCATCTCCCTAAGAGTGCTGGAATCACCACTTCGGGCATCACGGCTTTCTTCCTGTTCTGGTTGTTGCAGCTCATCTTCATGTTCATTCATCCTTCCAATAGCAGATGGCTTTATACCTTCAAGAGTGTGCTGTGCCCACCAGTACTGATTGCAACCTTTGGATATATCGTTGGGAAAGCCGGCGGTCTTGGTGCAACCCACAAGCTTGGTAAAGTCGCGAAAACACCTTCGGCCGTCGGATGGGCGTTTATGCAAGGGATCAACTCGGTCTCTGGATCTCTCATGACTGAAGTTTCGTCCAATCCGGATTTGGCGAGATATGCCCGAACTTCTGCGGCAACGACCTGGCCACAATGGATCGGTCTCGTTGTTGCAAAGTCTCTTTGCACCTTCTTGGGTATCGGCGCGTCCAGTGCAGTGAAGACCCTTTGGGGAACGGCTTACTGGAACATTTGGGATTTATACACTGCTATCCTAGACCATAACTATAATGCTGGCACCCGGACAGCCGTGGCTCTGGCATGTTTCATCCAGGCTTTTGCGGTTATTGCCACCAATTTAGCGGCGAATGCGGTGCCTGTTGGTTCTGATCTTACTGGATTGTTTCCGCGATATTTCAAGTGAGCAAGATTATACTCAAGAAGTGAAGAGGATCCAGGCTAACATATGTTCAGCATCGTTCGAGGACAGGTCTTGTGTGCAGTGTTAGGCTTAGCAATATGTCCTTGGAAGCTTGTGAATTCAGCTGCTGCGTTTATCACCTTCCTTGGCTCAAATGTTGTGTTCCTATCACCTCTCGTTAGCATAATGATGTTTGTTTCCCACTCAAATCAGAAACTCTAACCGATTACTCATACTGACTCTTATAGCACCGACTACTTCTTCATTCGCAAGGGCAATGTTCATATCCCATCCCTTTATAAGGCAAACTCGAGCAGCCCATACTGGTACTATGGTGGGTTCAATCTTCGGACGATTGTGGCGTGGCTCATCGCTCTCCTCTCGGTCATTCATGGTCTAGGTGGCTCGTTCAATAAAAACTGGAATATTGGCAGCAAGCACATCTACTACATTGGCATGTTAATGAGCTTTGCCATCGCCGGACCACTTTATTACATCTTCAACCTCATCTGGCCTGTAGACATATACCCTCTGGAGCACATCAATGCCCCAAAGACCAGAGAGATCATGGCTAAGACAGATGGGCTGTTCGATGATGAGGTTATTATCGGATATGAGGAAGATGGCGTTACTGAGGAGAATAAGGCTTTTGAGACGAAGGTTTGATTCGGTAATCAAAAATGAACATATTTTTTGCAATGCTTTCCGATTCGAGAACTGGCCAGGTCGATTCGCTGCTACGTGCTGCGTCTTGTGAAATTGTGGATTGTAGCCTCAACATAAAGGGATCGGGTTCTTCCAGACCCTTCCATAAAGACTGAATATGCCTCTCCGCAACAACGATGTTGTGCAAAAAACGTTGGTGTAGTCAACCTCCCGTCGAGTGTCGTGTAGCTGTGGCGAAAAATATGAGAACGCAATTAAAATTGTGCTGGTAATTAGTGAAGTTTGCCGTCAGATCTGATCTCTGATCTGCCAAATTATCAGACTATCAATAAATCATAATGGGAGGTGAGCCAGAGTTTCCTGCGAATATTTTGAAAAGGCTTGCTCCCATGTATTTGACTCCGCAAGAGAGGCCAGGGAGCAAAATAAACATGTAAGATGTTATGGTTTTGAAATACATGCTGACTTATGGGGACAAACAGAAATCCTTTGACCGTTAGAAATTCAGGGGATTCGAGATAAAGAGGCTTTGAATAGCAGGAAATGCCTTGAGTTTTTGAATCGAGTTTCGACTTAGCAATGTGAAATGGATTGGAGAATAGACAGATAGAAAGCAGAGGCATTCATTTGACGGAAAATCGAACATGTGCCAAATGCCTTCGGTCCCTGAGAAAAACAGTCGTAAATATACCAAAGAGTCTTGATTGGACGGCCACAGCGTTCTACTTACACAAAATGCAGAGACAATGAGAATACTACCTCGCGCAGCACATTAACCAACTTTTCAGCTAGACAAGGGTCACACTTGTGTTTCTACTAGCGCACTCATAGAACAAGGAAGATCTTCCAGTGTCAGAAAATGAAAAGTGTAGCAGGAATAGAACTCGAAATCATCTCTCAGATGTTGACACTTGATGTCAAACTGCACTAGCTACCAAGACACCCTATAATGAGAACGTAAATCTCATTGACCAACCTAAGTAACCCTTATATCCATGCCATATCGCCTGTACCCCAACGCAAAACACAACCCCTCAAGCCCTCCAATGCTGCACAAACCCATGTAGCCGATCAATAACAACCGGAAATATAGCATTCGAACTATCCTCAATCAATGCATCAAAATGCCGAATCGCATCCTCTTCGCTCAGCTCGAGATGGAAGCGTTCCTTAACCTTCAGCACAACTTTATCAGGCTCGAGCTTAATATCAGGGATATTAGCATCGACCATCAGACTAAACAAATTGAGGATCAGGTTTGAGGATTTGCGGAGTGTTGTGTAGGTTGTGAAGCAGTATTGCTTGAATTGGCGGTATTGAGGAGAAGTGGAGCCGCCCATGCCGTCGACCATTTCTTTGCACAGTTTCATGGCGGGCGCGAAGGGTTTCGGGTCGCGGCCAAGGATAAAGCCAAAGTCCGCATGGAAGAAGTGCCCGTCGGGTGCGAGTAGCAGGTTGTCTAGATGGCGGTCGCCGACGCCGAGGAGGTAGGTTATTACGCAGTAGCCAGCGCAAGATTTGATGAAAGTATCTAGGGCTTCTTTGCGAACTCCTAGAGGAGCTTTGTCGTCTGGATTGTTGTATTTCAGGTAGGCAAGAACTGTGTTACCTTTGTACTTGTTGACAATGCTTTGTAAACTCATCGAAGGTACAAATTGGGATGCTCCAGCAGTGGCGCCAGTTGCTAGAATTTTGTAGGGTGACAACTTCAAATCAAGATTCTCCTTTTGGAGTAGTTGATCCATCAGCGTAACAATTTGTATGACAAGCTGATCTTGCCGTAAATCATCCCCTGTCTTGAACATGATTTGATACTTCTGCTTGGTTATTGTTTTGAAGGTCATCATAATTGGGAAGAGGGATGATTTGAAGACCAGAGTCTCAGCTGGATCAACACCTGTGACCATGACTGATGGATCGAGAGGCAATGGTAGAGGAGGATCTATGGCAATAATCTCGTTCTTCGGATCTGCCAAGAAATGCTTCACCTTCTCCACTTTACGAGTTATTGAATCGCGAGATACCTTGATATCTCCAGAGATTTTAGAGAGCACAACTATGAGCTCGGCTTGGCGGAGCAGCGTATTTCGCGTTTCCTCACCACCAGGGAGCTTCACAAGTTCTGTCATGAAGTCATATTCCACCTTGGCGAAGAGTTTTCTGTACTCGGCGCCTTGATCCTCGCTTTGGTCATCGCATTCGACCATGAGGTACCAGTGAAAGTAGTTTCCAAGCATGAAGTTATTGGTCGCTCTCTGAATGAGGAATCGAGCAAGAGATGAATCATGCGTGGCATCGGAATCTGGAGAAATATGCTCAAACTTAAGAGCTTGTACCAGTTGTAGAAGGTAGAGCAGAAGTTCGTCATCATCGGATTTCCGCAGACGGTCGACTGCATATGCTCGGACTGCTGCGTTATCGAAATTCGGACCAAGAAGTTCAAGGGCATCATCAACGTCGACTTCTGTCCATTTCGCCAGGATTTGAACGGCCTGCTTGGACTCGCTTTGATCTTGCCAATTTACAGATTTGACAAATTTGGTCAGAGCTCTCTTGTCTCGCGTCAAGTGATGGCGGAATTTCCATACGAGGTCTTTTTCCTCGGGAGATAATATATGTGTTGGCGAGTAAGCCATGATTCCATTCAGCTCGTCTCGGACTTTCGCGTTCGGTTTCAGATCTCTGTCCAATACACCTGTGCGATGACTTCGGACCAGTCGTCGATGCTTGCTTTCCACAGGGTTATCCCTCGCGCCAACCTCGGGGTCATAAACTCGGACTAGACGCCCCCCAAAACCATTGTTATCGTCGTCGCTCAATCCATTGATTCCCGGGCCATATTGGACCTCAGGGGGTGGTTTTAGTATGATGTTCGACTGAGACGAAGACAGATGTTGTAGAGACGAGACTGGAGGCGGAGGATATTCGTGGTCGGCAAATACAACGGGAAAGTCAAATCGAGGCAATTCCACAAAGAGCGTGAATCGTTCGTCTTCAATGAGATCACTCTCCCCTTCGTTTTCTTTTTCTTCGCCATTCGACTGTTTCTCCCCTGTCCCATCTAGTCTCATGACTGTACCCCGCTGTCGAGATCGTCTGCGCTGAAGATTCTTCAAGGATGTGCTAGAAGCTTGTAGACCTCTTTTCTCGACGCCCCGAAACACTAACTGGTCTAACCATTCTACTCGTGGAATTTCACCCATTTCATGTTTTTTGAACAGCTTCTCCAGTCGGTCCAATTCTTCGCTTTCTTTGTCCGCCTTATGACTAGTATCTTTGCCCTTAGCTCCCTTACGGTGTGTGGGAAGAGTGGATGGCGTTGAGGTCGAGTCAAGACCGTCGGCTGCTTTGCGACGATGGAGGAAGCATTTTTGCCGGCCCTTTTGCAGCTGGTTCTCTTGGTCAAACAGGGGAAGTGTACTTCCACCAAACGGAATCGCGTGTCCTTGTGCTCCTTCTCCGCCGGTAGGTGACAGATCCCATATTGTTATTGCGAGCTGTGAGCTTAGAGGTAGATTCGAGTAATGAATAGGCAGTGTAAGCCATTCGTTCCACCTAGGTAGGTTAGCAAAGTTCTTCTGTCCAAAAGAAGTATCCCTACTTCCGCTCATTCTTAAAAGGTTTGTAGGCTGTCTGGACCGGTACCGTGAGGGGCTTGGAGTCCGCCCATAGTTGAACAGTAACATATAGGTCGGAATGCGGGCTAGAGAAATTCTATTCAGTAGGCATAACTTGATACATTCTGGTAGGCTTCTGCAGTACCTCAGGTTCGACCCAACATGTCTCAAGTCCGGCCTTTGAATAAGCGTTGAAAAGGGAATCTCGGTCTGCTCTCCTTCAAGGCTGATACTATCAAGATGTTAATATTATAAACAGGGTATATTGAGCCAAGTAGAGGGCATAACTAACATCCTAATATTGACGGGAATATCGACAGCCTCGGAGCTTGCAAAAGAGAAAGGTTCCATTGCTGCCCATGGTTTCATGACCCAAACATATTCAGAGCCGGAAGGCCAAGACAGCTCCGAGTACAAAGACGAGCACTCCTCTTCCTCCACCATAGCCTTCCCACTTGGTGGCCCGTGCACGAAGCTAAAGTGAACGCCAACGCCTCGTTAGTAAAACGCGACCGCGACCCGACCGAGCCGATTCCGTTCACTTTTCACTCCAGACTTAGATATCAGATACGACCGCATGAACCATATTCCCAATGTTATAAGAACAACACCGGTCTTTCCGCGCTTTATACCTCTTCTGCACCATTTTTCTGAGTTGTTGCAACTTCTGTGACTGTCTGTATCCCGCCTGAGACACGCTGTCGCAACCTGTCGCGCATCTACAAACAACTATTGCCAGCGCGACCGCGCGACCGCGCTTCCATTCACGACATGCCGCGGTCTACGAAGATATCACAGTCGCCAGCTCCTTTCGCAGATGATATCTATGCAGCATCTCCCGAACCAAGCCGCCATCGAGTGAGCAATGTAGCCCCTACTTCGATGTCTCCATCACCCGTCGCATCAGTATCGTCCGATAAGGAAAACCGATCATCGCGCGCTCCGCTAGACAAAGGGAAGGGTCGAATGCCTATGGGGCCCCCATCAGGTCCATCGCCTGCGAATGAGCGCGTCAAAAGAAAGCGCACGGCGGATACCGATACACCAGTAGAACGTAGCCGAAGAAGACAAACAGTAGAGGTGGATGAAAATAATGTAGAAGGCGACTACGACCCGGATCAGGATATTGAGGAACGCAGGCAAGTCCGAAGAGAGCTTCGGGACTTAACCAAGAGGGTCAATGAACAACGATCGGAGTTCCTGGCACCCGGCAATACAGGTCTTCAGGACATACTCACCAGCGCAGACCAATGGACGAATCAAGTAAAACAGACATCAGATGCTACTATCGATGCCCGCCTCCTGGTTCAAACGGCCGATCTTTCCTACAAAAAGACTATCGCCCTCACAACGGGGGATACTTCACAAGGCGTGGATCTGGAGGACTTTTTGTCAAAGTGCAGGGCTTATATGAGAGCTGCACCAGCTGGGGAAGGAGAAGGTGGTGGTCAACGAGCTCCTAGCAGTACCCAACGTCGTCGCGGTCGATATGATGATGAAGAAGACGAGGACGGTGATATGTTCGATTGGGCCTATTTCGGACGCGTCGCATGTTTGCCACACATCTCTCGACCGGCTGTTCCTGGATTCCTTCTTGGCCCTCTTTCGGTAGAGAAGCGAGCAAAGCGCGTTGTGGTCAGAAAAGCAGCTCTGAAAATACATTCTATCCAAGAAACGCGGCCGGAGGTTTTACAGAAGAACGACATTGAGAAATCCGAGAACGCAAATCTGACGACTCTTTGTACACAAATTCTGGCCAGGGCAAAGAGAGTGCAAGCAGATGCGATGACTAAGGCAGAATCAGAACATAACGAAAACATGTCACAAAAAGAGATAAACGCGGTTCTGGATAAACATGGCATTTCAGCAGATGGAGAGGTTGCATTCTTGAAATTCGTTATCAATCCCTATTCTTTCGGACAAACCATCGAAAACTTGTTTTACGTCAGCTTTCTTGTAAGGGATGGAAAGGCTGAAATCGTCGTGGGGGACGATGGGATGCCATATTTATGTATGTATTCCATCTCTATTCAATTATCAGGCTAATCATGACCATCCAGCCCTCCCAGCAGCGCGACTAGCAAATGCTCCCCGTGACGAAGGTCAATCCAAGCATCAAGCTGTCCTGGCCCTGGATATGGCACAATGGAAAGAAGCAATCGAGCTCTTCGACATCAAAGAGCCCATGATCCGACACCGAGAGGAAGAGAGCTATAATTCCGTGGGAAAGAAGGGTTGGTATGCTTAATAGAAATCTGCATTCACGTGCATTGGCGTTTCGGGGATAATCATCGGCATGTTTTTAACCTACGGGTTATACAATGAAATACCTTTTAGGGGCGGGGGGACCTGGGGGTGAGAATTGCTATGGATGAGAGGCTATTTGTCGATCTGCACATCACACAACTGGGCTGGAGTTCTTGATAGATGGCATCGTCCCATCATAACAATGTAACTGTTATTGGGATACCTCTCGTCTAGTGCTCTTGAATGTGTCACAAACATCAGGTGCTCCAGTGAGCGCCTCGTTCTGCACAGTCTCGTATTGTTTGCCTGTTACTCGCATAGACTTTTTATCCATAACGTCTGGCCTGCCCTATTTGGGGCTCCTCAACTTCAAGAAAGCGCAAGTAACACGCCGTCTGCTTGACTTTGGTCATATAAGCACTCCTTGAATTGTCTTGCTTGATCTTCCGCCAGCTAATCCACAGATCTCTAGAAAACTACTTTCTAGATCTTTTAGCTGCCTGCTTGGAAGAACCCCCCCCCCCCCCTTCTGTATTAGCATATCCTGCTTTTAGCTGCTGCTTTCAGGAATAACCCCTTACCATTATGTTCAAAATCGTCGTAATTGCATTTGTTGTCAAGTTTCCTACGCTGTCAAAGTTTACCTTCATTCGTTTGGTGTATGAGGTTTTCATTTGCATACATTATCGGAAAGGAATCGAGCGACCTCAAAGTGTCCTCCTACAAGATGGTACCTTCAAATTCATGTATCCACTAGCCACATCTATATGGCCTTTCGTGTGCAACAGTGATTTGAAGCTAGGGAAGCATCTTTCAAGCATTTCTTGTCCCATTCAGAATCGTTGTAATGGTTCTCAATGGAAGATAACCATCGAGTAGTTCCGCAATAGCGCACCACATGATTACTGGCTTTACTATCTTTGATTGAGATACGCCTCTGGTTCAAATCTGCCATAGCTAATGAGGCCCTATAAATTCTTAGTATACTCAAGATTATTCCAAACTTTAGAATATTGTGCACATTATCAAGAAAATGGTGTATGCGTAGAAAGACACGCACAACTAAGGTAAAAATAGCTCACAGAAATATTGCAGAGGCCATAATAAGGGTATGAGTATTTTGTAGTACAACGCCAAAAGACAGAGCCTCGTGGGAGCTCATCACGAGATACGATAGTTACCAAAAAATAAACGATTTCCAATTAGCATCTGATTCATCCAAGGCAGGCGGGGTTGCACCGCACCTGTGCCAGCATCCCTCCAACCACGAGACGGTCTCGTATTCCAACCAGTTGAGTCCAAAGACGAAAAAGAAGGATTCCGGCAGAATCGAGGCTCAAGGCCATCCATCGCGCCGGCGCTTCAACTGCCGGAAGTCTCCAACGTCGTGAGGATACGGGCTTATTTCAACCTTATCTTTAGGGATCTGGCGCAAAATGATCCCCCGCTATCCCCCAAGCAAGTAGGCAAATCAACGTTACAGTACACAGGCAACGTCTCTTTAGGACTGCGGCTCAAACACAAACGCATGGTCGGGGCCACCACCGTGAAGGAGGTGGCGTGGTCTCGCTTGCCCCACTTTCCAGCCTTCCTGCAACCCCTGTGGCCGTAACGTCAACGTCCATCGAAATCGCAAAGGAATGAATGAATGTTCCCTTCCATACCGGCCGACTAACTCAATCGCAATACTCCGTACATACACCGCTTGTCAGCATTTGTGCCCAACGATGATTTTGTTGCTGCCTGTTTAGACGCCTTACAAGGGTTCCGTGAGGCAAAGGCGCTAGAGAGGTATCTCTAAGCTAAGACCCTCATTTTACTTGCTTCTTTGTATAATCTCGGTGATGGTAGCGTAGTTCAGCTGAACGTGCTTCCTCCGGTCACCAGGGGGAAAGGAGGCTCCGTGTTGGAGGAGATACGACTGAGGCAACGCCCCCCACCACCTCCCGACGGTATCGAGCAAGTGCAAGCCGGTCACCAAGTTTCTCCGTCCATTGCTTGCAGGAAAAGAACCTTACTGCGGAAAAATGATGGCTGTGCTCATTTTTATATGTCTCTGTATCAAATCTGTGTTACAATGCTGCGGGTAGGCAAACGGCGAGGAAATTTTAACTGAAATGGGACGGACTGCATGTGCCTCGCTGCCCCGTCGAGGCGAGCAGACCGAGTAGCATGCGGCTTAAACTCCACAATTTCTTATAAGCTTGGAACCAATTGTTATAGAGCTTCGTTATTTGGCACTGGTTATGTCTCGGCAGTGCATGGCGTTCTCGGGTGCCTCGCATTTTGAAGTTAGATTCGCGAGCCCTCTTGGGGACGCTGGAGCCAGCAGGACCGTTGGGTATTCATGGATGAACCTGGCAAGATGTTCATCGGATGATCATTCGAGATCTTTGGGTCAAGAGCAACGTCATGGTTTCATGAGGCAGAAAGACTGATCTCGAGGTTGGCATTTGGGCATACTGTGTGTGTCAAATATGTCGAAAAACACTCTATAAATAGCAAAGACTAACAGCGAAAGTACAGCTCCGAAACCAAATGCCCGCTAATCTGTTCGATCTTGACAGTGAAATTGCAACAACAGTGAACTGGGTATCCTCCGTGTGAAGTTCTGGTGAAATGCTATCTTGAACATGCTATGCTGAACATAAAAATACAGAACTCATGCTAAACCCACACGCCTGAAATATCCTAAAGCAACCACCAATACAACTTCTCCTTTGCTTGATACAACAAACTCCAGATATGATGATGATACCAAATACAATGGGTTCCAATGGTAGAAACATGAGAAAAGTAACCCAGCAATCTAAATAACTGATCAGCATGTTATCAAGAGTACAGTGAGCCTTTTGCATACACGTTAAGCCTCATCGCGAACTTTATGAGCCTCCATTGGACAGTTGTCGCAGCGATAATGCCCACAATTATATTCTGGGCAGGAGAGCGCTGTGCCCACTGGTAGCCCAGCATGTCCCAAACAGGCACAGCAACTCCAGAACCACTCCCAGTGTTCCTTATTTTGCATCTGCTGTTCCTTTCCTTTCTTTCCCCCATGGCTGTGGCGAGATGATCCATGGCGAGAGGATCCATGGCTCGAAGACCCGTGTCTATCTTCGGGCATGACGACGTACTGAGATAATGTTGAGAACGAGTTTGATGTGCAGATTGGTATTCTAGGTATGATCTCAGGGCAGAGTAGATTGATGTTGAGTTGTGACTTTTCAAGAGCGAAAGACTTCTTTTTATATCACCGTTTGATGAAATGACCCTGAACTCAGCCAGCTTTGGCATCACTCACCGAGACAATGAGGCATTCCAAATAAAGCCCGACTGAAAAGCTGTGGAAGCCTTGAAGTTCATGATTTCGGCAGGACGCCTGGTTAGAGTCACGTATTGATATTGAGGGGGCGATGCTGCTTCTCATCTCCTCCTATCATCCAAGAAACTTCGATTTACCTCGGTGGCTGAGGTGTCTATGCTCTTCATTGTAATGAAAGGAATGGCTGGAATACCTGGTATCAAGAGAAAGAGTCAAATGGCGGAGTCAAAAAGAGCGGAGATGTGAGGGTTAAACGGTGACGGAGGAAGGATAGGGGCGGGAATCCCAGAGAAGCGTCGTGAAAGTGACCTGGATAGTCATTTCCACGAGTCCGGTGAGGATCTTAAGGCTCGTAGTGGTGAAGGAACGAGGGCGATGAGTATCAATCTCAGGCTGCCTTCGGCATTAGCGACAGTCTCCAGCTTCTTCGGACCGGCGTAACATAAAATGAGGGTAGGTTAGTATCCGCCCGAATAGACCGAGGAAACTAGTGCCACTGCCCGGTGAGTGACGAACAAAGCAAGGCTCTAGAGGATCCACTTTCAGATTCCTCACAAAGAAAGCTCACAGGTAAATCGACTATGTTATCATGTAACCTTACACAGAAGTAAGAAGGGGGATCAACACAGAGTAGCATAAACCTGAATCCTTCTCAAAAAGGGCAGACTGCAAAAGGATTCGGTTTTTTTGCGGCTCAAATTGTACAATGATGACGGGCTAGGCACCAACATGAGGCTGAAAATTAAACGATACAAGGCGCAGTAGTTTCGGTAAAAGAATGATATGACGAATACAATACACTAGTTCTATGGGATACCCATGGAGATGAATTTGCAAGTGAGGCGAAAATGTGTTCAGAGGAAGCCAAAATAGCATAGAATATGGCCCTGGAAGACCCTGCAGATGCTTGATATGTAGGAGGCCTCTTGTAAGAGTGGAGCGGTGACTTGGTATCGAAGAAAAGATTGTCTACGAAATGACAACCGGTTCTATCCGTGGAAGCCGATGCATGAGATACAGAGTCATACTCGTTATTCAAATTGTAAGCAATGCCGGTCCAAAGCTGAGGTGTATACTCCGAGGTGTATACTGCCGGCACTTCATTAGCAATTATATCCATGAATAAAAGTACGGTCTACTAACCTCGCAGCATCTAACCCAATCAGTTCTGCCTCGAGTATTTTGTAAGCTCTTGCCTACAGCTTTCGCATATTTTGTGGCTACACTCTATGCAATCCAGCACGTAGTGAATCTCGTAGGGGCCTGCATATGAAGACATCGAACTCAGTATTGTAAAAAAAAATGGTACATGTAGGAGTTGGGAGATTGTCCTGGGAATCCGGGGGCATTACTCTGGAGATTCCTCCAAGATGCTGACTTACCAGAGCCATCTTGGCAGCAATACCAAACGTGTCTTTTTCTTTTCGACGTCGGTTCATGTTGTTGATAGGATCCACGGAAGATTGAGACTTGAGAAGTGATGCTGTGCTTGGTGGTCTCTAAGAGATTACCTTCCTCGAGTTCTTCTATCGGATCGAGATTTCTTTGGCGGAATAGGATTCGGCTTTGGAGGACATGACTCGGAAGGTTCGATTGTCGCGTTTGTATCGCGGAGACGCCCGCAGGATGCGCAATACTCATTGAGTAGTAAAGATTGGGGGCCTTCTCGACACAAGCCG